CTGGAGTTTTGCTCTTGTTGCCTAGGCTGGAGTATAATGGCATGATCTCGGCTCACCACAACTTCTGCTAATTTTGTATTTTTAGTAGAGACAGGGTTTCTCCATGTTGCTCAGGCTGGTCTGGAACTCCCAACCTCAGGTGATCCGCCTACCTCAGCCTCCCAAAGTGTTGAGCCACCATGCCCAGCCTAAAAATAACTTTTTAAATAGCACTTGCTTGAAATTATTTCATATGAGGTAAAACTATTTTATCTTTGAATATGGCAAAACTAATGGATTCATATACAACCAGAGCAGATCTTGATGGTATTTCAAGATATAAACTACTAACCCAATAATTTCTGAAGGTAACATTTTAGAGTCTCTTCCTCTATTTGTGAGAAGCTTGAATGTTTACAAATATAGCATTCACTGTGAGGCTTCTTGTTTCTTTTCCTTTCTAAGACTCTAACTTGTTATTTATTTTACTATTACATGAAACACATTTTATTTTAATTTTTAAAGTTTTAGTATTTTTTGAGATAAGGTCTGATTCTGTTGCCCAGTTTGGAGTGCAGTGACATGAACATGGCTTGCTGCAGCCTCACGTTTTTAGGTTCTAGTGATCCTCCAGCTTCAGCTTCACTGGGACTTTACTGTAGTCCCAGTAGCTGGGACTACAGGTATACACAACCTCATCTAATTCATTTACATTTTTTTTAGAGATGGGGGTCTTCTTGCCCACACTCGTCTTGAACTCCTGGGCTCAAGCAGTCTTCCTGCCTCAGCCTCCCAAAGTGCTGGGATTATAGACATGAGTCACCACACCCAGCCTTATTTAAATAAGGTTTGAGGAAAGTTGAGTAGTAAAACTCTGGCAATGATGTTGGCTTCATATCTCCAAACTCCTTTTTGCATGGTGTAGAGACTCATTACAACTCTATTTTTAAAAAAGACTTTATTTTGTAAAGGTGTACATGCTGCTTATAAACAAATTAGTAATACAGAAAAGTACTAAGTAAAACCCCAAAATCCTATCACCTAAAAATAACCATTATTAACATTATTCCACAAACCTTCCCTTTGCATCTATAAACAGAGAGATAAATTTACAAAAAAGGCTCACACATACTGTACATACATGAAGATGAAGCAAAATGAAGAAACTGAAGAAAATGAAGCTAAAGCAATATAAATCACCAAATTTTAGTTAAATTTTTTTTGCAACATACTTAGTTCCTAATAACCCCTTTAAAGTTTTGAAAAAAAGATTATGAAAAGCATTAAGAGTTTGAAAGTCTACATGATTAACTTTTTTTTTTTTGAGACAGGGTCTTGTTCTGTTGCCCAGTCTGGAGTGCCTTGATATGATCATAGCTCACTGCAGCCTTGACCTCCCAGGCTCAACTGATCCTCTCACTTCAGCCTCCCAAGTAGCTGGAACCACAGATGTGTGTCACCAGGCTCAGCTAATTTTTAAAAATTCTTTTGTAGAGACAGGATCTCCCTGTATTGCCCAGGCTGGTCTCAAACTCCTGGGCTCAAACAATCCTCCCACCTCAGCCTTTCAAAGTGCCAGGATTACAGGTGTGAGCCACTGTGCCTGGCTGGAAAGCCCTTATAATAATAGTAGCTGGCATATAGTGTTTATATTAAATGTAAGCCACTGCTATTACAGAGGAGTAATGGTGAACATCTGGGCCCATGTATGATATTGAAATCTGTCATTCACAAAATAATCTCTTTATCGCTCATTCATCTCAGAATACTTTTCCTGTTAAATTTACCAGCTCCAGGGTAATAAATGTGTGAATAGGTGATTCTGTCATCTGTTTATAAGAATGGCCAGAACACAAAATTCTAGTCTTCTTACAATCCTAAACATATACTATGGGCTACCTATAACCGCAATAATCACCATTATGCATGTCACTTATATGTACACACTAACATAAATAACTTTGTGCTTTAAAATCCTCTTTAAAAGTAAACTATTAGTCTGGGTAACCTGGTGAGACCTCATCAACAAAACAAAAAAATTAGCCAGGCACCTATAGTCCCAGCTACTCTGGGGTTGAAGTGGGAGGATCACTTAAGCCCAGGAGGTCGAGGCTGCAGTGAGCCAAGATCATGCTACTGCACTCCAGCCTGGGTGACAGATTGAGACGCTGTCTCAGAAAAAAAAAGAGAGGTAAATTAATGTTAGTGTTTTGAAATACCCACAAAATTATGAAATTTATATTGTCTTAAGTGTTTTTTTTTTTTTTTTGAGACAGAGTCTCACTCTGTCACTCAGGCTGAAGTGCAGTAGCACAATCTCAGCTCAGTGCAACCTCTGCTTCCTGGGTTTAAATAATTCTCCAGCCTCAGCCTTCTGAGTAGCTGGGACTCAAACTCCTGACCTCAGGTGATCTGCCCATCTTGGCCTCCCAAAGTGCTGCAATTACAGGCATGAGCCACCACATCCAGTCAATATTCTGTCCAATGTTTTCAGTTTGTTAATCTGTCAATTTTTTTTTAATAAAAAGCTTTATGAAAACAAAGGTAGATTTCACCTCCCTACCTTATTTTTTGATGATTCCTGAATCTGAACTTAACAGAGTTGATGACTTTTAAAGATGTTCTTAAGTCCACTAAAGTCTACCTTCCTCTTTTCTGAGTATTAATATATTTATTTTCTTTGATAGAAAAATGCTATTCAGATCCTCTATGAAGACATGCATTTACTTTCATTACAAACTCATCTTTCCAGCTGCTTTTCTGACACTCCATCCCAAAAAAGAATTTTAAAAGTGAAGTTTATGATGCAATTTTTAAAAGTTTGGTTTACATCCCAAATTGGATTTTTCTGTTGGGGGTAAGGGAAGGAAGAGTTGATGAAAACTTCTAGCTGCTTCTCTGAGCTAAGGCTAAAGTTTTTTTTGTTTGTTTGTTTCTTTATCACATTTGGTAATTTAGGGATACACATCACCACCAAATAAGAGAATATGTGCCAATTTTCCATTTTGGTTTTGCTTTTTTTCCTGCATAGTATGTTGACTTTTTTGGAAATCATTACATTGCAAATTCTAGGCTAAGAGTTTATCTGATCTCTAGTTTGGATGTGAAAGAGGATGATTTGATGTTTTCAAATTATGCTTTAATTTCTCCATTAAAGAAAATAAATTATACTTGTGAAATTATGGATTTTAATCCTGACTTATGTTGGCTTAAAGAAGTTTTAGTGTCTCCACTAAAATGAGATAGAATATAGATCAACTACTCAGCTTTACTACGTATTGTGAACGAGCTAAAAAATACACAAACAGTAAGAAATTACAAACATCTCTAACACAAATCTAAACACAAAATGCAGGAGCCATATTCCTGCTATATTCCTCTGTCTTCCTTCCTGAGTAGCTCACAGGACACAAATGTAGCAAAATCAATAAATGTTGAATTCATGACATCACCTAAATGTGCAGTATTCCTACCTTAATAGTCTTCTAACCACAATACCTGTGAATAAGTAAATTTCTTTATAATGATCTCTAAAAGATGGCCTAAAGTCTTTGGCTTCATTGAAATCTATCAAATATTGCTTTTAATAAACCACTGCCTTGAGTTTGGAAATCGTTTTCTACACAAAGTCTTTGTGGCATTTGTGGGGGGAGGGATGGCATTTTTTGTAACAGGATTTGACCTGTAACTATTATTAAGAATTTTCTTAGAGGAGTTCAAAGCATTTTACAGGGATCATTCATTTATCCCTCGAAAGTAAGGCAGAGGCATTATCTCCACTACAGACTGAGAACACTAAAAGGCCAAGATAGGTGGGGCTTTTGTTGTTGTTTTGCTAGGATCAAAAAGTAATTCTAGGGCAAAGCCAGATTCTGGTCTGACCTTGTTACATGATGCTTCTCGCACCACTGTAATACAATGTAGTTGCTTCCCTAAGTCTCTCTGGCTATGCTAGGTGTTGAATAATTTTCAGGGTCTATTTTTATTCTTCCCTGCTCCCTGAAAATGGGTCTTAAGATGTAGGTAAGTACAAAAGAAAACTCCCCAATCCTTCCTATCTGAATTTGGAGTATAGGACAAACAGACAGAAATAGCCATCTTCCTCCCCTCCTCCAAGTTTTACTGCCTAGCCCAGTGCTAATAGAAAAATAACCTGAGACGCAAATGCAAGTCATATGTATAATTTAAAATTTTCTAGTAGTTACATTAAAATATATTGTATTTAGCTCAATACAGCATATCCAAAATATTAATACTTCAACAGGTAATCAATATAAAATTATTAGAGATATTTTGCATTCTTTTTCTTGTATGGCTTCAAAATCTGGTGTGTATTTCTCACTTATAGCTCATTTCAATTTGTATTAGCCACATTTCAAATGCTCAGCAGCCACATGTGATGAGGGAGGACACTGCTGGACCCTTCAGATTAGTGCCATGTGAATCAAATGGGTGGTATGGAGAACGGATGCTGAGTCCTTGGAGAGTCAACTTGCACTTGGGTGGTGACTGATAAGAAGCCCTAGCTTTGCCATTTCCTGATACATGACTGTTTTTGAAGTTATGGGCTCAGGATCTAGAAGACTGCAAATCCCCAAATATGTCTAATCCCCAAGCTCACTCATGCCAGGACTATGCTTCACGGCCTGTGAGAACCTAAGCTATGGAACCTGCCAACTTTTAGGGCTGCAGTGTCGCTGGACCCCCATAGGTGGCCCGTGGTAAGGGGGCATCACTCGAGGAAAAGGAGGGCTCCTAGACGGGGAAGGCCACCCAACTAGGGGCTTCTTGAGGGCCGGTGCTCCAACTGGCCGCTTCCTGAGGGCAGCCGGTCCTCTGGTGGCCTTAGGCAGGGCCTCGAAACGGGGCACACGTGTTTGCAGCACCAACTCTGGTGTTTCCACCAAGCGCTCCCGGGGATGCGGGTATGGTGTCAGCGCCCCGGCCCCAGCCCGCTCCCTGAAGTGGATCCAAGGCCGCAGGTGTGAGGGGCGGGTCCAGGGCTCGGCCCGCGCCGCCCCATGTGACCCGGTCCGACATGGTGTCGCCTCCTCCTGGGGCAGCGGCGGTGGCGGCTCGGGTTGGGCTCCGCGTCGGGCCGGCCCCGCGGCCGCTCATGGGCAGCCAGGGCCGCTCGGGGCCCCCCGGGAACGGCGGGGCAGGCGAGGGCGAGGGCGGAGAGGCGAGGAAGCTGCAGGAAGGGAGGGTCGCGAGGGGGAAGCGAAGGAAAGGGAAGGGGAAGGGAAAAGCGAGCGCAGGGCAAGGCGGAAGAGGAAGCGGGGCAGAAGGGAAGCCCGGGCCGCAGACGGCGAAGGAGGCAGCGGGGCCAAGGGCTGAGGCGGGAGCTAGGGCAGGCCCGAGGGAGGAAGCAGAGGGAGGCGGAAGCGTGGAGGAAGGGGCGAGAGGCATCAGGGGAGATAAGGAGAGCGCAGGGACCGGGAAGGAGGCGCAAGGAAAAGAGTATGGGAAGAAAGAGGAATGGAGGGTCAGGGCTAGGCGGCGGGAGGGCGCCAGGCCGGGAAGAGCACAGGGACGAGGGGGCCAGGCTTGGGCCGACATCGCGGGGACTGGGGCGGCCATGGCGGCGGCTGCCGGGGAGGAGGAGGAAGAGGAGGAGGAGGAAGCTGCTCGGGAGTCCGCTGCCCGCCCGGCCGCGGGGCCTGCGCTCTGGCGCCTGCCGGAGGAGCTGCTGCTGCTCATCTGCTCCTACCTGGACATGCGGGCCCTCGGCCGCCTGGCCCAGGTGTGCCGCTGGCTGCGGCGCTTCACCAGCTGCGACCTGCTCTGGCGCCGGATAGCTCGGGCCTCGCTCAACTCCGGCTTCACGCGGCTCGGCACCGACCTGTAAGCGTCCGCTCGCCCGCCCGCTCCCTGCCCCGGGCCGGCCCAGCATCCCGGGAAAGGGCGGGGCGCCGCGGCCTGGTGGGCCCAGGGTCGTGTCGCACCCCTAGTTCCGAGGCCTACACCTGGCCTCCGCCGACACCCTTTCCCGAGCACTCTCAGGGACCCCACTGCCCCTCCTCCCCAAGGTCTCCATCTGAGGCAGCCTTCCGAGAGCATCCCTCAGTGGGTACCCTCCCCTATGGGCTGTCCTCACAACTAGTCATCTTAGGCACTCTTTACAGCTTTCCGTTGTGTCTTTTTGCAGAGGTTTAACTGCCCTGGCTCCTTAGCCCCAGAGGAGCCAGGTTGGTCTATGTGGTTTCTTCGTGCTTTGGACCACTCCCCCCAGTCCAGGTCTAGGACCCAGGTTCCTTAAGTGGTGTATCATCATATTTTTGTGGACTTTGATCTTCCATCCTCCCTACCCTCTTCTAAAGGTTGTTAAGCTTCAGGTTTCGGACCCTAATGGAAGGCCCTCCGTCCTAGTGTTCAGCCATAGTTTATGACTCCACGCGAAAATGGGGGCCTGCTTGAGGCAGGAGGCTGGAGTTGGTCTAGGCTGTGTACAAGACATGGTATTGCAGTTTGGCCTGTTTTTGGTAGGGTCTGAGACCTGTGAATTAAAAACTTTCCTCAGCCACTTAAACTGTTAAATAGGAAGAAAAAACCTGTAGGGAATTGAGGGAGTGAGCTTTCAGATCGCCACATATTCCACTCATGTTTTTAAAAAGGTAGTTCTTTCTAGCACATTATGACAACATTAGAGAAAGTTTTTAAAAACATAAAAAGCTATAATACCATCACCTCTAGACAATTATTTTCATTTAAAAAACTTTTCAGGTGCAACATAGTTGCTAACTTACCGATCCTAACAGAATAGATGCATAGTAAATGTTTGTGGGCTGTCCCATGAGATTGAACATCCCTCTGCTATTAAACTTACATGTTGTGTTCAGCTTTTTACTATTAGAGATAATGAAATCACGCATTTTTGAGTAACATACTGAAGTATAAGTCACATGTCATACCATACATATTTAAAAAAATTAGTTCCTTAGGATAAAGTCTCATGGAGGCATTATAGCAAAGGTTATGCTTTGCAGAGGTGCTGTACCAAGTTATAGGGGGATCAGTACAGAGTGAAAAAATTTTATGTGAGAATTTAGAAAATCTTTGCTACTTTGGTGGGCATTTAAGGTATCAAAGTTGTGTTATTTTGCATCTCTTTTACCACTGGCCGGGATAAATATTTTCCCAGGTGTTTGTTTCACCTGCGAGACTGTCTGTTTCCACTCTTTGCCCATTTATTACTGGGATCTTTGTGTTTTTCTTATAAGTTTGGAATCTTTGTGGGTCTTAGATGTTAGAATCTAGTCTGCTGTCTTTGATCCAGATAGTTTTCCCAGTCAATTGATTTTACTTTACTGTTTTGCACTTTATTAGGCTCTGTCAGTCTTTTGTGATTTTTTCCCCTCTTTTTCCCCCATAGCTGACAAATTTACAATTCCTCCACAGACCTGATAAATCTGTTTTCCACTGGTTTTCTTATAATTTTATTATTATTTTTTGAGACAGTTTCACTCTTGTCTGGGCATAGGCTGGAGTGCAATGGCATGATTTCAGCTCACCACAACCTCTGCCTCACAGGTTCAAGCAATTCTCCTGCCTCAGCCTCTGGCGTAACTGGGAGTATAGGCATGCACCACCACACCCGGCTAATTTTGTATTTTTAGTAGAGCTGGGGTTTCTCCGTGTTGGTCAGACTGATCTTGAACTCCTGACCTCAGGTGGTCCGCTTGCCTCGGCCTCCCAAAGTGCTGGGATTACAGGTGTGAGCCACCATGCCCGGCCTAATTTAATTTTTTTAATAGTTAACACTTGCATCAATATCACTTTTGGTGCAATAGGTGAATTCAACTTACTATTTTTGTTACATAGCCTCAATGACTACCAAGTTATTACAACTTTGTTAAGTAATTCTCTTTCCTTTGTTTTGGAGAGCTTATTTTGCTATATGATGTTTATATATACGTATATACACACATACATATGTGTGTATATTGGATCTATATCTGAACTTCATTTTGTGTCACTGATATATTTTTCCATTTCCATACCGTTTTAAATATTGTTACTTTTTGGTAGAGTCTAGTATCTGTCAGGGTAAGATTATCCTGTTGGATTTATGTGTGTGTGTCACCTTTACACTTCTGTTCAACTCCCCATCAAAAAAAAAAACAAAACATTCTGCGCTTTCCCAAGAACTTTTGTGGTTTTCATGATACAGTTCTCACATATCTGTTGTTGCACTTACTCCTGTGTATTTCTAAATATGTTTTGCATTTCATTTTTATTGCAAATATACTCTCTTTGGCATGTTTTCTGGCTGGGTATTGAATATAGAAAGTGTCTATAAGTAAATTTTGGATTTGTGGTTTTTAATTTTATTCTAGGATGATTTTGTTCATGATAATGATTCTTTGGGACTTCTTGGGCATGCAGTCTTGTCACCCGCAGAAATAGTTTGTTATTCTCCTTCAAAGAATATTAGCAGTTGACCTATAAGAGAAGTTGTCTAAAATGACTGGAACTCAAGCCAGCCAAGGCAAAGTTTGGCTTTCTTTCTCTTTACAAAGGGATTGAGTGAATAGCTGGGCGCGGTGGCTCAGGCCTGTAATCCTCGCACTTTGGGAGGCTGAGGTGGGTGGATCGCCTGAGGTCAGGAGTTCAAGACCAGCCTGGCCATCATGGTGAAACCCCATCTTTAAAAAAAAAAAATTGAGTGAATAAATGAAAGAAGTTGTGTTTATTTTCAAATGCTCTAAAAGAGAGATATTGGGAATGAGTCTACATTCTGTAGCAGTAATAACAAAAGAATGAAAATGAATTTATGAATTTATGGTATAAAATGCTTTGAGATTGCCAAATGATATGGCTTTATTATTTGACCCTGGTAACATGTGTGTTTTGATTTCTTGCCTGTGTCCTTGGGTAAGGTGTCCTGGCCTTCTAGGAAGTTGTTTTACCATAGCCCTTGATAAAGAGCAGGGTCACTGCTTGGGTTTTCTGGGTTAAGGGAAGAAGTTATGCGTGTTACAGCAGGTGGAGAGAATGTTTACCAGTGTGGTCTGTTTCTGGACAGCTGCAGCGACTTAATAAGCCACTGAGAGAGAGAGGTGGTTGTCATCCCTGGAGGGAGAAGGCATATACCCCAGTCCACTTAGGAAGTCAGCGAACCTGATTCCAAAGTACAGCAAAAGTATGACTGGATGGTGGCAGAGCTGTCGTTCGTGCTTTGGACTAATTAACTGCAGACTAGATAAGTCAGATGAGTTTTTATCAGCATTACACAAAACTTGATTTTATCAGAAGCCACATAACCTCACTGGTCCTAGGTTTTATTATCTGTAAAGAATGGGAATAACCTTGCCTGGTAAAATGAGGCTTAAATGTAGAATGCTGGCTAGTACAGCATTAAGCAAATAGTAAGCACTCAATAAATTGTAAAATGGGACTTTTTAATTGCTTGGCTTCTCCTCTAGTTAGTCTGTATATAGCAGAAGTGGGGCTGATTTGACTTAGAGGTGCTGCCTAAAGACAAAGGGGAAAACACGCACACACACACACCCTGCTTGGTTTCTTTCACCTGTCCTGAATGTCTTTGGAAATATGACAGCAGAACCTGTGGACTTGGGGCCTGTACTCAGGGCTGAAGAGCCCCTTGATTCTCAGAAACACAAACTGCTAAGGTTTACTGACCTTCCGGCCCAGGGCACGTCTTATTCAGTTTGGCTGTTCCTAACTGATCATAGCTTTGTTGAGTAAGATGAACTGCTTTGGTTCTTTGTGATTTGCTAATGGTCTTATACTTGTGCTTGAAGGCATTCTGGACACTTTAAAACCACAAACAAATAATTTGCTTCCCATTAGGCCTCTTGCCTGAACAGTGAACACTGGCAGGTATCCTAAGCTTTTTTTTTTATTTTTTAAGGGACACAAAGATAGTTTGAGTCAGTCATCTGATTTACAATCAGTTTTGTTTGGAGATTTTATGAAGCCTAGGGGAGTAGAAATATCCTGAATATAATAATAAAAACCAAAGAAATGTTTCATACGGCAATCTTTCAAATTTTCCCTAAAGAGTAAGAGGACAAACTAACCTGTTTCAGTTTACAAGAACAAAACAGTACACAGTATGATGGGGGAAGAGCAGGAGTGCTGTCTGCAAATTCTGATACTGAAAATTAACAAACACAAATAATAGAAAAAATATTTCTGTGTAATGTAAAGCTATTTTTAAAAGATACTATTGCCAAGTCTTATGTTAAGGAAAGCTTACTTAATCCTCTTCCTCCTGAATTAAGTGCTACATATTCTCAAACAGGAATTTTATTTGAAATAGCCTTTGAGCAGTTCCTGGGTGCTCTCTTGCATTTGCCTATGATAGATTTGCCTGGAATTAACAATAGGTGTTTAGGGACTGAGGCTCCTGAGGTGTTTGTCCTGGCATGTACATTCATTCCTGTGGAGGGGTCCTATAGCCTTGGAGCTCTTTGAGGCTGGGGGCCTGGGGTATCTATTTCAGTGATGATTAACGTCCAGAGTGGTGAGATAGACACAGATAAGCAGAGTGTGTTTATTTGTTTTAAAATGATTGTGCTTAAGAGCATTTTCTTGACCCAGAAAGCATATAGTTTCCTAATTCTGAATGGAGATGGTATTGCTAACTGGTTACCTTTAAGGCCTAAACTGTGATCTTCAGAAAACAATTAACAACTCAAAGTAGCTTAGGTTTTCTCCAGTTTTCTGCCTTACCCAGGGAGGAGAGTCACCTATTTGTTCTCTAGTTCACTGAATGATTTCATATATGGATGTATTTATTGTCTTTAGCATTTGGAAAGGTCTTATTTTTAATGGTTTCTATGAGTTAATAAAATAGAGTTTAGTTTACAAGTTCAAAA